GAAAAAAAAGCAAGGTGGGGAGAGGGTGAGGGGGAGGCAAAGTCGGTTTAAGAAGTTTCGGACGGGAGCGAGACATAAGTAGTCCGTAAAGCCTAGCATTTTGCATCTCGATGCGTACCTGCACGGTCTTGCCAAAGGTTAGCTCTGCCAAGTTCAGCTCTGACCGTCGGTCATACGAGCCAACTGCCGGTCCTGCAGTTCAGTATCCATCAGGAAGTCGGTAAAAACCCTTGATGGCCACCTTCTGTGCACAACAAACGGAGCACAATGCCGCAGCTTGCCTCAACCAGCCAGCAAAGCAAACCTGACTGTCAACCGCGCGTCTACGCGGGCGGACAGAGCACCGCACCCCAGCGGGCGGACAGCCGCGCCCACGCGGGCGGACAGAGCACTGCACCCAAGCGGGCGGACAGCCGCGCCCACGTGGGCGGACGGAGTACCACACCCCAGAGGGCGGACAAAGGCGCCCACGCGGGCGGACAGAGCACCGCACCCCAGCGGGCGGACAGCCGCGCCCACCCAGGCGGACAGAGCACTGCACCCCAGCGGACGGACAGAGGCGCCCACGCGGGCGGACAGAGCACTGCACCCCAGCGGGCGGACAGAGGCACCCACGTGGCGGATAGAGCACTGCACCCCAGCCGCCCCGTGGCCCGGACAATGACCCCATCTCTGACGCCCGATAACCCCGTCTCTGGGGAACGCGCCCGAGTGCTGATGTTGGCCGTGTCAACAACTCTCCGGACATGCTTGATCTCGTTTTGCTCCCCTTGAGGATGTGGGAGGAAGGGAGGCCTCCCGCGGGAGCGACGATCCGTGCCGGGTTCGGCGAAAACACGTGACACTGCGTGGATGTCTTAGGACGAGTGAACGACACTGATGCTATTTTAGGCAAAGCTCCACTGATAGCACAAGGCACGAAAATCTGCCATGGGCGCGTTCTAAACCTATTAACGGCAGCTACCCTGCCGCTAAGATGAAGCGGTACGGCAGCCGGCTGCCAATCAGCTTCGAATCTGATTGGCTGTTGGCCGCTACGCTCCATGAGTCTGGCAGACAATGCCACAAATGCCACATGATGATGCCACAAAACGTGCACCGTGGTTTGCTCACCTAGAATGAAACTTACTTTTAGACTTTGACTTGAATGTTGTTTTTTATTTAACTTGGAACAAGATGCATGGAATCAGGCTGCTTCGTTATATGCCTTATGCGACTGTCTCGTTGCACGCCTTATGTAACTGACTCTTTACGTGCCTTATGCAACTGATGTGAACTGGAATACCGGCCGTTTTAACATGGGCTATCAAGCATGTTCCGTATTCACAGTGAATGTGTTGGATTAACATCATACCTAAACGAGCTTGGTAACGTCGAAATATGTCAGAAAAACCATCGAGTCCCCAAGATCTGCGTGCTCTGTTAACCTATTTTCTACCTCTGTCGCTTGCTTAAGCATCAGTTTCGGCAATGACTGTCTCAAACGCCGGGCAAGAATGACATCTAGCCGCAATGCACCATGAAGAGAAGAATTGCGACATTTGGTTCGTGCGCGTGGCTCACAGCACCGACTGCAAAGCTGACAGCATTGAGCGGCGGCTGCGTTGGAGGCGATGTGGGTATCGGTTTACGACAGCCGCGGCTGCTGGCCGCCCCTGTCGCCGGGAGCTGAGTAATGGCGGCACCGCAGCTCGGAGTAATAGTAATCCGGTAAGGCTGCGTCCGATGTAACGTTGATGTATCGTTGCCGCCAGAGGCACAGAGCTTTCGCGCACATCGATCGCAAAGCTGCTGATTGTTCCGCGGTACAGCGTTGTCGCACACGCCCGCGGTGCAGAGCTGCCGCACACGCCCGCGGTACAGCGCCGTCGCACACGCCCGCGGTACAGCGCTGGCGCACACGCCCGCGGTACAGCGCTGTCGCACACGCCCGCGGCACAGCGCATTATGGAGAATGTGGGTCCACCCAGCGACAGATCCAGCAGCTTATCTGCAATCCCGGCGCTCTATGTCACGGGAGATACGCCGCCCCCCCCCCCCCCCTCCCCCCGCTCACGTGTATTGAGCTGCGATGGCGAATGACTTGCGCGAGGGTTGGGCTGTATGGATATGCGCATATAGGTGCAACACTTATCATTTCACGTCGCTCCAGTAAAGGGCGCGCGAGGACGTGCGACGCGTTTTCTAAACGCGTTGGTTCGTTCTCTAAACAAAGCAGCCCACGAATGTCGCGCGATCCGCTGGGGTCCAGTATGCCACTGGCGACAGTGTGGCGGGCGGGGTGCACCGGCCGTCTCCGCTAAATCGAGGGGACGCGCAGCCGATCGGCGATCATAGTTAATGACAAAATGTCATATGTTGAAAAAGCACCGGGAGGTGGATGCAGCCGAATTCATGTCCCGTTGCGCCGAAGGAATGTTCACAAAACCTTGCCAAGATACCTCTTACAAATTGACTGAATGCTTCGCAGGAATGTATTTGGTTCAACAGTCTGTGCGAAGCGTGCGTGAATCTCTGCTAAGCGTGCGTGAGTTTCTGCTAAACGTGCGTGAGTCTCTGTTTAGCGCACGTGAGTTTCTGCTAAGCGTGCATGAGTATCTGCTGAGCGTACCTGAGCCTCTGCTAAGCCTACGTGAGCCTGTAATAAGTGTACGTGAGTCTCTACTGAGCATGCGTGGGTATGTACTAAGCGTACGTGAGCCTCTGCTAAGCATAGGCGAGCCTTTGCTAAGCGTACGTGAGTCTCTGCTGAGCGTGCGTGAGCTTGCGTTAAGCGTGCGTGAGTCTCTACTGAGCGTACGTGAGCCTCTGATAAACACGCGTGAGTTTCTGTTGAGCGTACGTGAACTTCTGCTAAGCGTACGTGAGCCTCTGCTAAGCGTACGTGAGCCTGTGATGACCGTGCGGGAGTCTCTGCTAAGCGTACGTTCTTCAAAAGATTCAGCTCACACCACCCCTTGAAGAATGTCATGCATACGACTGTTCTTACTTTTAAAAATGTTTCATTGACATTAACTACCTTTTCGGACATTTGTAGCTTCTTTCATAATAATGCTGCACGGCTGCCCCTAGTCCAGCTTAGTCCTCTAAGTTTAGTTAGGATGGGCCACACAAGTCGAACCACACAAGTACCGTTCCTGGGAAGCTTCTGTGACATTTCTGGGACTCAAACTCACTTGCCCTCCGCGGATTGGTTTAGTCGTGTCTGACACTCCAGCAGCTGGGTTACAGAGGAGGCTGGGGTAGGGAATCGAGGCAACGCACCTAACCCTGAACAGGTTTTACAAGCAAGGTAGGATCAAAAAGTCATGTTCAATACATCATTTGTTCATGCAGATGGTAACTTCCTCCCTTTCATAGTTAGCATTAGCATTCACTTCGGTTGCTGACAGCAATGTACCCGATATGACAAGCCACAGTAGGCTGATCAGGGATCTGTCCTATGTTTCTGCTAGACAGCACAGAACACTAAATATTCGACCTATCAAGGAGCGAGCCTCATTTTGGAATGTCTGGCACCACGTGTGAAATAAGGTAAAGTCTCTCACGTGCTTACTTCGGTCGAAACAATCCGTCCCCCAATGTCGGAGTAGGTTGTGCGTGGCGAATGCAATAGATATACACATAAAAACTTGTCGACGGGCTTTTACTTTACTTCTAGCTCAGGAGGCTACTGATACCTTCCTTTTTCATTTTTAGTAAGATAGCCGCGTGCTTGGGACACGTCGTTTATGTGATGCACACCTGATTTTACCAGAAACGAAACAAACCCAAGAACATCGATGGTTTAAAGCATTACGCCACTGGTAACCTGAAATCGCCCAGAAATCCCTGCAACGGCCGGCGGTCGATTCAGCTCGTTTATCAGTATTCACCCACACCTTAACACAGCGTCGTTCGGGTTCGGCAGCACAGTAGACGGTGGCGACTGAGCCACGCCGGACAGAATCCTCCCCACCACCACCGTCTCACCGAAAACAACTGAGCCACGCCGGACAGAATCATCCCCACCTCAACCGTCTCACCGAAAACAACTGAGCCACGCCGGACAAAATCCTCCCCACCTCCACAGTTTCACTGAAGACAAGAGAGCCACGCCGGACAGAATTCTCCCCAGCCCACAGTCTCACCGAAGGTATCTGAGCCACGCCGGACAGAATCATCCCCACCCCCACAGTCTCACCGAAGACAACTGAGCCACGCCGGACAAAATCCTCTCCGCCCCCACAGTCTCACCGAACACAAGAGAGCCACGCCGGACAGAATCCTCCCCGCTCCCACAACCCCATCGGAGACAAAAGAGTTACGCTGAATTGCATCCTCCCCTCTCCTACAGTCTCATCGAAGGCGACTGAGCCACGTTAGATAAAATCCTCTCCCCTCCCACAGTCTCACCGAAGGCTAGTAGCTCGCAGTCGTTTAGTGCCTGATGAGCTCAGCGTCGTTCTCGTTCGCGCGCGCACCTCGGTCTGCCGTCTCAAAAAATCGTGGAACGCGCTATGCTTAATCGAGTTTTTTTCATGCATTTTGGATGAATCAAAGTTTACACATTTGTGCCACAACATTGATAGTTGTGAAGTGTTGCTTGAAAAAGCGTTGCAGTGTATCACCATCTTTAGGGGCGCATTCATCGTCGCTTATGCCGTAGCAAGTCGCTCACATCTGGGCAGGCGTCAAATCCGGCCAACTGTCAGATGTGGTCTACGATTTCCTTTTGGGAGGACGGGGGTGGGCGGGGTGGGGGGGGGGGGGGGGGCGGCATTCGGTTTAAACTCTCAGTTCAGCCACGCTACCAGTAAGGCACAGAGTTCGAGCGATGTATCAACCCAAGAGGAAAAACAAGCTCTCGTCATCATTGCCATCTTACATCCGTGTTATTGTACGGAGCCCGTATTATTACTACCCGAGCCCTCAGTTACCCTTGTTGAGCGCTCAGCTGCGCGTCTGGGGTTCGATTCCCGCCCAGCGCCTGCTACCTGCCGTCCCGCGCGCCGACTCACCGTCGTCCATGTAGGCCTCCGCGTCGCCGGCCGCGGCCAGCGCCGCCAGCAGGCAGAGCGGGATCAGCAGCGCTGCCAGTCGCATCGTGTCGCCTCTCGTCTGCCTGTGACCGCCTCGTGCAACGGCCGAAGACGGCCCGGCCACCGGCCGTGACGTCACGCGACGCCTGCCAATCGGAGCGCGCGGTCGCCGCCGCCGCTGCCCGGTTGGCGGTCTGGATCGACGCAGGCGTGCAACAGCCGCAGGGTTGCAGCGGCGGAGAGGCAGGCTGGCCTGCCAGGTGACCTGTTGCTGTGGGTAGGAGGCCGGGAGGCCGGCGTCGAAATCTGATCAGAGGGGTACTGTTGAAGTATTGACTTTCGACTTACGCCAAATGTTGCGTTGCCGGCTTGATAATCTTTAACACCCAGTTGCAAGGGCGGATCCCGGTGGCATGGGGCCCTACCCCCCCCCCCCCCCCCCCTTTTGGCATCTTTGAGGTTTTGATTTCCCGAAGGAACACGGAAATTTCATGATGTACGCGCACCAAACCTTTATTTCTGACTCACATACCCTTTGTTTTCAAAAGGCATCAAATGCAGGCGCACCATAATGGGACCCCAAATAATCATTTGCCATATACACCAGGACCAGGGCCGGCAGTACCAATTTTGACAGAGACAAAGACGATATAAAACAGCCCTCACTAAGAAGCTTGAGTAAAATAGTGGGTTAGATATAATGCGGTTCATAAATTGCGTCTCGCAAATAGTGAATGATGATGTCAGTGACGCAAATGACAATGATAAAAAATGATAAAAAACGCAAATGATGGTGACGCAAATGATGTCAATTACTTTTCTGCTTTGCCCTGTACCTCCGGTTGGAATATCTCATCGCGATTTTGGTTCTTTTCCTCTGCGCGTTTCATACAACTGTCCAAACCATCGGAACATACACTGCAGCAGTGGATTAAGTATGTGCGCGTTTAATGGGAAAATACCCACGGTTTGATGTTTCATGCACGTTTACCTGCAAGCCCACCTCTCTTTTCGATGTCCTAGTTCATCCTCGCTGGCGTCCAATTCTACAAGGGAGTCATGGAACTTACCTGATTCTTCGCAAGGGTAAACAGTTTGACCAAAGCTTTTCATGCGGCACCTTATTCATATGACGGGCCTGCTTTGCATTTCATACCATTGGAACGTTATGATGACTACGGAGGTCTCCTACGCGGCGATATTGCCTCTTGCATGCATTTCGGGTCCTCCTCTTGATTTCACGGTACTTTTTGTTCCGATCGACTGCGGCCTCCTGTCGGCACGATAGGGTCTGTTTAAACTTCAAGGGGAACTAAAAGATATGCTTCATGTTGGCAGCAGACCAGGAGGCGGCTGGCTTTAGTCCCCGGTGGTGCCTCCCCTGGGTGCCACCTCAGGGTAAGCACCGGCAACGTTTGCGCTTCCAGCGACAGGAACGCTGAGAGATTGAAGACGGGGAAGAAAAAGATGAAAGGAAGTGTTTCAGATTAGTGAAATGAAATGTCACAAGGTAAATGATTTAAAAAACGCAAGGTATGTTTCACGGTCTTGCACATAGGCAAGGATTTCCAGCCCTTACCTAACTGTGGTGAGGGACATTTACTATCCTCTAAGGTTTTTCTAGTGTACCGGCGAAGTGAATGACGAATTGCAGCAAAATTTCCAGTAATTTTTCTTGCACCATTGTTGCGTATTTTCAGTATTTCAATGCTTTGTTACAGGTCAGTTTATCATTTTGGGTAGGCTAAAGTGATTTCTTTCTTCAACATTTAAATTTGTGCATTTTTTGCTCAGTAAATTTGCTCAGTCGCTTACCGTAGGTCAAGTAATTACCTACTCGCCCCATTTTCACAGATTGCCACATTCTCAGAGAACACTAGGCGTTTGGATGGGTTATTCGGGACGAACAAAATAAAGAACATATGAGGATCGTGCTTGATTGACAACCATAAAGCAATCACAGCTCAACAACTCAGGGAAAGACATTTATAGCAGTTATTAACAATGTGAGTGGCACATTGGCCGAGTGATTAACACCTGGGAATCCACGTGTGGGGAGGTCTGGGTTCAAATCCTGTTTGCGACAGGAACCTTAAAACAAAGCGGAAAGCTGGCAAGAAAGCGGCTCCCGGCCGACACGGTCGGACACTCCAATGCCAGCCAGAGGGCCCTGCGCGCTGATCCGGTTAGGTTAGGTTAGGTTAGGTTGAGCTAGGTTAGGTTAGGTAAGGTTAGCTTAGGTTAGGTTAGGTTAGGTTAGGTTAGGTCAGGCCTGAGTCGACAAGGGCCTATATGTTGGTCAGAAACCACCAGTAACCGACAGTCGGCTCCGTGGCGGCGTGGGCTTGAGGGCCATTTTCCAGACATTTGTATTGGTCAGGGTCGCAGCGTCTGTCAGCCCTCACAGCGCCTGACAGAGGCCCCGAGTTGGCCAGAGGGAGTGTTCGAGGAGCCCGGAGAGCCTAGAGTGTCCACCAAGTTCGACGATCAGGGGCCCAATTAGAAGGTCTAAGGGCATAGAGGGCTGGCCAGGGTCTTATTCAGGGGCCCCGGCCCCGACCCCGGTCAGGGGTCGGCTCCCAAATAATGGTCAGACGGCCGTTTACGCCGATCGAGGCCCCTGCGTCCATATGGGCTCACATGTCGGTCAGGGGTCGGCTCTCAAATAATGGTCAGACAGCCGTTTACGCCGATCGAGGCCCCTGCGTCCATATGGGCTCACATGTCGGTCAGGGGTCGGCTCTCAAATAATGGTCAGACGGCCGTTTACGCCGATCGAGGCCCCTGCGTCCATATGGGCTCACATGTCGGTCAGGCACCACCAGAATCGCACAGTCGGCTCCGTGTCGGTATGGCCCTGAGGGATTTATACTGACTGGGGGCCCTGGATCTGTCAGGGGCCCACAGCGCCTAACAGGAGGTTCTGTGCACGGAAGGGCCCCGGACCGACCAAGAGAAGTGATCGGTGAGGCCCGAAGAGGAGCCCGGGAGGCCCACCGGAACCGATGGTGCAAGGCCCGGTTGAAGGGCATAAGGGCCCGATGGACTGGCTGTAGGTCACATAAAAAACCGCAGCCCATAGGGTTGTGACCTTAAACATTAGTCAAAGGTTCTCTTACACCGTTTGAGGAACCCCTGAGACAATGCGGGTGTTTAATTCGGCCAGAGACCACGGACACCGAACAGTCGGCTCCATGTCCGTCCGAGCCCTTGAGAACCATTTTCCAAGCGGGAACGAAGCCGGGGCCCGCGATTTGCAATGTTCCGGGCCTCTGACATAATGAAGGATTTCTGCATCGGTCAGAGGCCACAGTGGCTGACAGAGATATGTGGCGGCATGTGGCCCCGAGTCGGAGCGGTGTTTGAGAGGGCACGAAGAAGGGCCGAAGGGTCTCTCGGGACCAAAGAATGAAGGGCCGGATTGAAAGGCCGAAGCGTCCGAAGAGCTGGCTGTAGGTCATATTAAGGACCCCATTCCATGGGGCCGTGATCTCAAATGTCAGTTAGAGAACCTTTTGTACCGATAAGGGCCCTGAGACAGAGCGTTCCTCTATTTCGGCCATAGATCACGAACAACGAACAGTTGGATCCGTGTTGGTGTGAACTCCAGCGGCCCATCTCCCAAGCAGGGACAAAGCCTGACCCGCGATTAACAATTGGTCTTTTATTTTATCTTCCTTTATCTTTCAGTGGCCTACCGTGCCTAGCAAGGTATTCTATGCCAACAGGGGGCGTCGAGTCTGTCAGGGGAAGATTTGCTCAGCAGGGGCGGGAACGGGACCCCAAATGGCAGAGAGCCTCGTGCGTTGATTGCGGCCCTCCAACAATAGAAAGGAAACCTGAGAACTCATTACCAGTGCTCACATTGAAGCAATGGAATGGTCATGTGTCGGTCAGGGTCTCCAGTACCGAACGGTTGATCCACCAACCCAATGCCGGCGAAGGCCCGTTAAGCGGAACTAGAGTGTATGTGTCAATTACTTGAACTCCCGCGGCGGTCAGGGACGTTGTTGCGTCAGTGAGGGTTCCTGCGTCAGTCCGGGTCAACTGCACGGATCAGAAGGCCTCCCACATCCGGGAGCGGACCAATGCGATGTGATGTATGCCGCTAATGGACCTCTGATCGGTCGGGGAATCCCGCCCCGTGTTACCAGAATAACAGCCGGAAGACAGACCGCGGTGGGACAGAGTCGCAGTTCAGCCCCTGACCGGGAGTAACAATGTGCCCGTAGTGTTCTGCTTAAGAGGGCTGATTCACCGGACAATAAGGATCCCATAGCTGTTGAACAGAGCGTGTAGAGATGAGTACAAAAACGCGCAGGGTCCTTCACTCCATGTTTGCTTTAAAACGTCTATTCTTTTGCAGAGTCGACTAGGGAAAACAATTACATCGAATGGTTTGAGCCTGTGCACCCGCAATCTCAGGAGCAATATATGTATATATATATATATATATATATATATATATATATATATATATATATATGTGTGTGTGTGTGTGTGTGTGTGTGTGTGTGTGTGTGTGTGTGTGTGTGTGTGTGTGTGTGTGTGTGTGTGTGTGTGTGTGTGTGTGTGTGTGTGTGTGTGTGTGTGTGTGTGTGTGTGTGTGTGTATGTGTGTGTGTGTGTGTGTGTGTGTACATATATACACGCAAAAATATGCACAACCGTAGGGTAGCATGACTAGAAGTCCTAATCCTAATTTCATTCTAGCTACCGCTCCAAGAAACCCTAGTGTTTCGTTGGGGGTAAAAGTTCCTCATGTATGTGCCAAAGGATTGAAAATGAAATGAAAAATGGGGTAAGACATCAAATCTCCAAGAACCTAAGTACAGGGACAGTTCAGGTGTGATGATCGAAGCGTAAGATTTCAGACCGGTTCATTGGACACCTCAGTGGCGCACGTATACAGAAGATGCGCACATCGTTGCGGGGAAAACATGACAGGTAAATACGTTAAGTGTGCCTAATGTCGAATCAAGTAATCGCATCGCGTACGTAGTTTGATAGATGCAGCATTGCACAAGAACCGCTAGCTGTAAAGAAGACATATTAACGCCAGGAGACAAGTATT